TCCGATAAGAGAAGAATGTCATACTTGGAAATATAATTAAGAAAATAGTTATCGTCAGCCAGTGATTTTAGGCCGTTAATGTTCCAGACAGCAAATGACAACTTCTGGTTCACCCATGGAATGTGCTAATCGTTGCCACCCGACAAAATCGTACCATCTGAAGCCTCTCTATTAACGATAGAACCAGAAGCGGATGTAGCAGGTGCAACATGTCTTCGACCGTTTGTGAAAAAATCAGTTATCTTCGGGACGGGAGTCGATGTGGAGGATGGTCCAGTATTAAACGACAAGTTAGAGGGACCAGGCATCGTGGTTGGGACGGGGTTAGCCGCTTGACTTGGCACTCGGATATCCCTTGGGTTAGGTTCCCTCACGATATTTTCGTTTGTTTGAGGCACTGAATAGTCTAATAAAGGAACGACAAATTCTACCAAGTCAGACTCAGATTGTATGGTTACAATCTTATTCTGAAGAGTTTTGATGCAGATCCTCCCGTCATAGGTCCAACAGCTGTCGATCAGCTTCTCTTTATGAAGATCACGCACCCGAAGACAGTAAATCTACACGACTAACACCTAGTCATTTGGGATCATTCGTTTTATCTCACAGTAAAAAAATAATGAACAATTTCATTCACGTCATAAATGGATTTTATAAACCCGAAATATACTATACCGACACCGATAGTTTGTACATTTCATCCAAAAATTGGAAAAAACTAAACAGAGCTGGTTTGGTCTCCGAAAAAGACTATTGCAAAGGTAAAAAAGATTACGGTGACGGTGGAATTATATTTGGTTTATATTTAGCACCAAAAGTCAAATACAACATCGTTTTGACTTCTGATGGTGTCTTAAAAGAAAAGAAAACGTTTAAAGGTTATTCTAATGATAAGATAAGTGTAGAAGATTACGTTCAGTTAGCAAGCGGACATGATGTGTCGAACGAATTTAATAAACCGTGGGAAAAAAGTTTCACCAATGGAGAATTATTCCAAATGATAAACAAACTAAAGTTTTTAGAAGTTATTTGAATAATGTTAAAAGAAAACCACCAAACAGTGAAGGAATTATGTATCCTTACAACGACAAAGATGAGTATAGTTTTGACGAAAACTGTGAATTTGATGATTTCGATTATCTTTCTAATCAAGAAGAGAATGAAGATTGTTTTAAATGAAGTTGAATGACAATTTCTTCGTTGCCAAAGTCTATGAACCTGTTTTTACCGTCTTTGATTTCTAGATTTATATCTTTGATCATGAAAGAATTGACTGGTAAATAGGTCGTTTGAAACGGTTTCTCTATAATTCTGTATCCGATCGGCACCGTAAAAGTCGGTATGCTGTATATGATTTGGCGTTTGTGCTTGTTGAAAAATCCACCGTTGATCAAATTACAGTGAATGTTGATCACGTCGATATCGTTCTCGATGTTGGCCTTGTGCGGCGCCAACGTCGATTGCGCGAATATTCGTTTATCGAACCCTAGTAACGCATTCAACGAATTTTCTACGTTGAAATCGACTTGACTGTTATTTCTCAAGATCAGTTTTATTTTGTTCAGATTCAAAGTACCTTCGAATTCGATATTGTTTTTACCGTTCACGCTTCCTGCGTATTCGGATAGGTATTCGTTGATGGCTACGTATTCGTAGCTCCCCGGTAGTAAGCTTATGGTTTCGAACGTAACTCCGTTATCCGTCGATATTTTTAGTTGATTGTTTTTTTCGTTGATGTTTCTAATGGAATTGTAAACGGAGAAATACTTTAATCCCAGTTCGTACTGTTTATTGCGATCGAGTTCATACTCGTAGTCTAGAGACAATTTGATATCTGGTTTATTCGAGGTGATAACGAACAATTGTTCTTTATTGGACATTTTTAATGACGTTTATCTAGTCTTTTTTAGTGATGATCTCTTTCTCCAAAAGTCGTTTTAATATGGCATTGACTTCGTTGTATTGTCTGTCCGATCGATGACCTTCTTTCATAGCCGCTAATATTATTTCTAATCTATTAAGCAATTCTTTATTGTCGTCGGATAAAAACGTTATACCTTGTCCAGATGCCACCATATCATCGAATTCGTCTATTTCTTCTATGATTGGATAATCATCTACATCCTCTTGCTCAATTACTCTTTTATATAGTTTAACTTCTTTCAATCTTCTTGTTTCGGGTCCTGACTTTCTTATTGCATTTAGAAATTTTAAGTATGCTACTAAATCCTTGTAATCGGCAATGGGAATAATATCCTTGCCATTCATTAAATCTATTAACCCTCTCGTTAATGTAAATATAAAGTCTTTTGTATCGATTTTGAATTGTGGTGAATTTGAACTAAATATAATTCTAAATCCATTAAACAATAAACCTTGATTATCAACGATTGGTGAAATGCTCTTTGGTAAATCTGGCTCAGGGTTTGAAAAAAGACGTTTTATATCATATAATGTCCTAATTATAATACCATTATATTCAATCGGTTTGGGGTGTTCTATATGAGGTGTGGGTTCTATAGCGAGTTTTTTTTTAATATCTTCTTGACTTTTTAATATGGGTTGAAATAGAGTCTGTAGATTTTCCGTTAATCCGAGTTGTTGTAATCTGTTATTTTCAACTTGGGTCTTTATTTTAATCTTAGCTTTGATATATTCTCTATTTCTTTTTAAAAAATTATTCCAATCCGTCATTTTTAAAAAAATAAAATTAACATATATCGATCATAACTCTTTCTCCCGCAGGTTTTCTAGTATTTACAAATACATATCCATGATCAGCTGGGTTTCTCCATTGAGCTTTACAAACCTTTTTAAATGTATCTCTGTCCATTCCGAGATTTATAGACTGAATGATTTGAGATAAATCTTTATCGTTTAATTCAAATAATAAAAAACAATTTGCATTTTTTCTAATGAACATAGAATCCATCCCGTAAAAGATTGGGATTGGTATATGCAGTGACAGTTGTGATGTCTTCCTTTGGTGAAGAATTCTTGTTGAACAGTTTGATTTCTTTGCGCTACGCAAAGAAATCAAACTGTTTTGCATATAAATGTTTTGCTTCTTCCAGCAATAAACAGTAGCCGGTCACATCTCCTTGTGTTTTATCGATGTGAATATTTATGTTCACCCCTGTTTTGAAAAGATCTTCTTGATGAGCTGACAGATCGAAACAAAAGATTGGATGATTGAGTGAAAAATCTGTGTATTCAAACTGAGGCGTATTTCCAAACAATTCGCACATGTTTTTATAGTTTCTGTACAATTTGTTGTAATCTTTTTTGGAAGGATCAATTGTCAAAGGTTGATTGGGATAATTATCGTTGTTAAATCTGACTTGAACTTTACGAATGATGGGATCTTGAGTATGGTTCAATGCCACTCTGAAAATGTTGTTGTTGTTTGTCTGAGAGTCTAGCAAGTTTTTGAAACCGACCATTAGATATCTCGCTGGTTTGACGGTGTTGGTGATTGGCCACGTGGTGGATTCTCCCGTTAAAGTCATGCTACCTACCGTGTTACGACGAAGAAAAGCAATTTCGATGTCTTTGGTTAAAGAGTTGAATATTCTCGGAAGGAGTGATTACCGGTATGTAAAGTTGGATATTCGTTATTTCCAATTTTGCGTCAGAGTTGTTTTCACCAAAGAATATCTTTTTGTCGTTGATTTCTCTTTGCAAATGAATTTTATACGGTAAACCTGTGGAAACCTGTGTTCCAAGAGACCAAATAAAGGATACAACTTCCAATTTACGTAATTACCCCATCTGTTGTTCTCGACGACATTGTTGTATTGAAGCGCTCGTTTTTCAAATCCGTGATTTACTCCGCGAGTCACTCTTTCCAGTGTGTTTCTAGCAACTACCCTTATCCTAGCAAGGTCTACGTCATTTGCTACAGTTCTAACCGGTTCTTTTAAAACTTCTCCGTCACCGACATCGGGAATCCATCCCGAAACTGAATCGTAGTTTTTGGGATACAGAACCGTTTTCAACATTGTGTCAAACTCGCCGGGGTGTTTTATGGTCTCGATCGGATTTGAACCAGTTTCCAAAACCATTTCGCTGAATAATGACGGAAAGAAGTTGTTTTCTAAAGTCGTGTTGGTTTGTGGAATTCGATTCTGAGTGGCGTCTTTGATTTTGAAATCGCATCGGAAATGGGCATCGGAAAGCAGCAACCAATTGGACAACGAATTAATTTCAAAGGTGACTCTTCCTCCGTCGTTTATTTGGGTCTTTGTCCCTACCGATGGTGAGATGATTACGTAATCCTCTTTCTTCTTGTTGAACGAATATTGAATCGGATCATACAATTGAAAGATTGGATCCAATCTGTAATTTTTGCTTGCCATTTTTATCCAATGATTTTAAACCCTTTTCCTTGTTTTTCTAGGGCTTGTCGTTCTAGTCTCTTGTTTCTTAGTTCTCTTATTAGCTGTAGTTCTTTAAGTTCGTCAGATTTTTTCACTGCATCGCTTATATTTACTCCTGCTTTTGCCACAGAACCAAGAGCTTGCGCTTCTGAGGAAATGAGGGATTTGTTGTTTGAGAGAAAATTGGCCACTTTGGGGATGAGAGATGTTAGCGCAGAGAAGAAACCGTCTCCTTCGAATTTTTTTTGTTCGTGTTTTAAAATAAAAGACATTTTTAATGCGGTTATTTTTACTGTATTATTATTAGTGATTCTTGTCTGTGGTTTGGAGTAATTTATAATACAGTTTGGGGAGTGTGTTATAATACAGTTTGGGGAGTCTGTTATAATACATTTTAACAGTTGTGTCTTTTCGGATATGATGCATTGAAAAAGCTGCGCATGCGCAGAAGTGAAATGCGTCATATCCGAAAAGACATATACTACTCTTTATTACATTATTAGATAGGTTTGAATATATTATATTAGATAGATTAACTATATTGAATAAGTTTATATTAACTATATTGAATATGTTTATTTTAACTATATTGAATATGTTCATATTAACTATATTGAATATGTTTGTTTTAACTATATTGAATATGTTTATATTAACTATATTGAATATGTTTGTTTTAACTATATTGAATATGTTTATATTAACTATATTGAATATGTTTGAATTAACTATATTGAATATGTTTATATTAACTATATTGAATATGTTTATTTTAACGATATTGAATATGTTTGTATTAACTATAATAATTGAATATATTTGAATTAACTATATTGAATATGTTTGTATTAAGTATATCGAATAGGTTTGAATTAACTATATCGAATAGGTTTGACTTAAAAGTATTAAATATGTTTGAATTAACTATTGAATATGTTTGAATTAACTATTGAATATGTTTGAATTAACTATATTGAATATATTTGAATTAACAATATTAAATAGATTTAACTTAACTATATTAAATATGTTTAAATTAACTATATTGAATATGTTTAAATTAACGATATTGAATAATTTTACTTAACTATATTGAATGTGTTTGAATTAATTATATTGAATATGTTTGAATTAATTATATCAAATATGTTTGAATTGATTGTATTGAATATATAATTGAATTAACTATATTGAATGTGTTTAATTTAACTATTTTGAATATGTTTTAATTAACTGTATTGGATATGTTTAGATTAGTTTTGTTGTTTTTTATGAATAACTTATATTTACTATGTTTGAATTAACCATATTGAATATATTTGAATTAAATATATTGATTATATTTGATTTAACTATATTGAATGTGTTTAATTTAACTATATTGAATTTGTTTGAATTAACTATATTGAATGTGTTTAATTTAACTATATTGAATGAGTTTAATTTAACTATATTGACTATGTTTGAATTAACTATATTGAATGTGTTTAATTTAACTATATTGAATGTGTTTAATTTAACTATATTGAATGTGTTTGAATTAACTATATTGAATGTGTTTAATTTAACTATATTTAATTTGTTTGAATTAACTATATTGAATGTGTTTAATTTAACTATATTGAATGTGTTTGAATTAACTATATTGAATGTGTTTAATTCAACTATATTGAATGTGTTTAATTTAACTATATTGAATGTGTTTAATTTAACTATATTGAATGTGTTTGAATTAACGAAATTGAATGTATTTGATTTAACTATATTGAATGTGTTTTATTTAACTATTTTGAATATGTTTTAATTAACTGTATTGGATATGTTTAAATTAGTTTTGTTATTTTTTTATGAATTGCTTACATTGACTATATTGAATATAATTGAATTAACTGTATTACATATTGTCGTATATTAATGTTGCTTCATCAGTTCTGTCAGTTTTCACATTGAGATCCATATTTCATGTGATTGTCAAAAGACACTTTCCAGAAATAAGATTTTGTCCAGACATCATATTCGGAAGGTTTTCAAAATAACAACTTTATTTCAATAATTTGACATGTAGAAGAGTAAACTGAACGGGTCAACTTGGCACATAATCAAAATGGCCTCAAAATTGGTCAAAATTGAACTCCAAATAGGTCAAAATGGCCGCTGGAAAAAGTCAAAATGATACCAAAATAATATTTTAAATACACTATGAACAACTTAAAGTTAGGTTTCCTTATTTTTTAGTGTCAAATTAAGCATATTTGATTAATTGGTGTTTCTAATGAATTATCGTGTATTCTTAATCATATCATTATGTTTTTATTACAATTAATTTAGTTTTAACCAATCATAAATGTACATGTATGTACAGTCTGGTTAAACATAAAAATACTTTTTGACCTTTCTTGATCGGTCACTTATCGAAATTCTACTGGAAATCCTCTTCTAATTCAGCTTATTATGAATTAATCATGGACAAACTGGTATATTTCCAAGTCATTACAACACCTCTACTCTCTATTCATATAAGTTTTGCAATATGAACAAGTGGTTGACTAGAAAAATACGCCCACTTTCCTGATAAATTTTCAGTATATCAATCTGTGTCAAATCATACCAAAAATCTAATTTGTGCCAAATATAGTTTTTTTAGGCCTAATCAGACACGCAAAATTTAATAAAATTCTGACATAAACTGTCACTTCTATCGCGCTAACAAGACAAATTTTGATGCGTTTTACTAAGTCTAGGGCAACTCAAACTCAAATTCCGTTGATCGAAAAATCGTCAAATTCAATCTTGAATAAGATCTCATCATCTCATAATGATCACACCAAATTTAATTTAAATCGGTGAGAACTGTAGTCTCTATATTGTGTTCACAAACAAATATTGATGCGTTTTCCAGGGCAATAACTCAAAAACCGTTCACCGTAAGATAGCCAAATTCGAACTTGTGCAAGATCTCATTAATATAAATGATCACACCAAATTTCATTAAAATCTGATAAAAACAGTTGTCTCTATAGCATTCACAAGCCAATTGTGGACGGACGGGCGGACCGACGGACGGACCGACGGACGGACCGACCGACGGACCGACGGAGAGGCGCGACGACAATATACGACCACATTATAGTGTGGGCGCATAAAAATACATTCATATACATACATTAGCCTACATACTAATTATTCACCTTACTCGCACAAATATTATTTACCTAATTTCATGCGACAAATGTCATTTACAATACGTAGGCGAAACTAAAAACTCTTTGAGAGAAAGAATTAACGGCCATCGTTTCGACATCTCCCATCATCTGGATAAACCTATTGGGAACCATTTCAACTCTCTCAACCATTCCCTCACAGATATGAAGGTGGCGCCCATTGAAAAGGTCATCGCAGAAGAAGACACCAACCCTAAAAGTTCAAGACTACAGGGAGTGTTTTGGGATAAATCAACTAAAAACTATTTCACCCTGTGGACTAAATATACAGTTTGATTCTCAAAAAATCCCATTTGTTGCTCCATTCAATAACATTTCTTGGCAAGCATCCCGAATTATCAAAAGATACTACACAGAGTTACAAAATAAATTTCCCACTATTTTTTACAAAAAATTAGTCATAGCTTATTCGAAAAATAAAAATCTACAGGATATAGTTGTTCGTGGTCGACTTGACCCCACCGATGATGTAGAGTGATCTTACAGAATTAAATATTCCCATTTTATTAACTAACTTTGTACTTTATAGTATATAATAGTCTAAAACAATTTACTTTCTATACCTGCAGCCATTAATCGCTTTTCTACAGTATTCCAGAAAATTTGAAGCAGTCAGAGTTTTTATGATTCTGTATTTTCCACAGACAATTGTCCCAATAATGTTATTTCCGTAAATGTAGATTATAAGTATTATGAATTTCTTTATTAGGTCCAAGAAGGTCTATATGATAACCGTTATGATCTTCTTTGATTTAGTTCATTGCATATTAGCATCACAATTATTGTAAACATAACTTTAACCCTGTGCCAGTGCCTTATATTGAATAGTAACTTGTTACTCTTCAATCACCCTAATCTCTGCTCATTATCACACTTAATCACTTTTAACCCGCCAATGTACTTCCTTAACCAGTTACAAGAGACGCATCTGTTGGCAACCCTTAACAAGAACTTAGAATCTTCTTCGCTTGCAGCTCGACCCATCAGTGGGTGACTCAGTGGGTTAGACGCTTGCTCGCTAACCTCGAGATGATACCTACGGACTTTTAACCCGGTTTCCGCCTGTCAGTGATGTAGGTAAGATGGGCCGACGTGAAAAAAGCGTCTAGTTGTTCGAATGGGACAATAAACCGAGGCCCCGTGTGATACAGGCTATGCAAGTTAAAGATCCCTCGACAATTGGAAATCGAAAACAGCAGGCTAATGCCACTGTCCTGGCAAAATTTCTCTAATTGTTCCCTGCATGGCGTTGCCCGTCTTCATTAGCCCACAGAAGAAAAGTGCAGAAAAGTAGGACGTAAAACTCCATTCATTTCATTTCGACCCATCAGACCGAAGTAGGTGGGCATTTTGACCAATGATTTTTGTTAAAATCAACGAGTAATTGTAGGGGCCAATTTGACTAATACTGACTTTTGGGACGGTTTTGAATTGACTATAGCCCGACTGAACAGTGAACACCTCTGAAAGTATCCTTCGTCACAAAATTTATTCCATGGTCGATATATCCGAAAATATGCCCATGTTCGAACATTAACAAATGTGAATCTGCATGATTCGCTTTAGAGTGACTTTTGTCATTTAGAAAACAGACAGTTAATATTTGTGACAAATGATCCGGGTTTAAGTGGTCCCACTTGAATAACAGAGTTACACTAACAAAGCAGACCATTGTGGTCTTTAGCTATATCATGTCACGTGAGATCACTGTCACATGATCGATGAATCAAGCAAAATGGCGGCGTAATAAAATAAACAAAATGTGCATGTGGAAGAAAATTGCTTAAATTTGATAATCTTTCCGTGATAGTTCGAAGGAATCGAAATGGAGGAACGGAGGAGGCTTCTTCCTCGCTCAAAGAGCAATAATCAGTCTCCTACTCATGCTCAATATCAAGGACAGTTGACGTTTTGGAAGATGCAAATCGCTTGTGGAATTATTTTGTTTACTGTGATTTTAGAACGGTTGGCTTTCTATGGTCTGAGTGGAAATCTTGTCTTATTTTTAAACACAAAACCTTATGTATGGATGTCTTACAACGCCCTAACTGCTATGTTCTATTTTTTTGGAATTTCCTACATTAGCCCACTATTTGGGGGTTGGCTGGCAGATTCTATCGTGGGACGTTTTAAAGCTATTCTAGTTGCTTTTCTTATATATGGAGCTGGCTATGCAATGCTACCCTTTTTAGCTCCTGTTAGTGATGACATTATTTCTACTACAGAACCTTTACCAGAGATGTGTTTAGTACACCATGATTACAATGCATCATATAACTCCACTCCACTTGATATTACCTCAAGCACAACATATAATTCTTTCGAAGAAAACTGTGCTTGGTTGATATATATTGTGTTAACTGTGATAGCTATAGGAGCTGGCTCAGTGAAGGCCAACATTGCACCTTTTGGGGCAGATCAAGTAAGTTACAGTTAATATCAAGCTTACGGTACTTCAGAAATTTTAATAATTTTTTCTAAATCCTTACTTTCTTGTGATTTTCTTATAAGTTTTCCATCCATTTTTTTTTCATTACAAAGAATTTATCCTGACTAAATAGAGCGATATGTTATGCTGCACTGCAAAGGTTTTAACCCCCAAAAAGTATCAAAATGAGATGATTATCCTTGGATTGAAAACCCTGATTTATGCTTACAGATTCTAGGTAAGCTTATTTATTTTAACCACCAACTATTAACTGAAGAATTTATAAATAATTCCAGGTACAAGGTGGTGATCAACAGAATATGTTGGTTTTCTTCAACTGGTTTTACTGGTGTGTCAATTTTGGAGCTTTCATTGGGCTGGGAATTATAACCTATGTTGAACAGCAATTTTACTTCTTCTATGGCTTTATATCTGCTGGTTCTGCTCTGGGGTTTGGTGTTGTACTGTTTATTTTAGGTAAGTTTAATAACAAATGCCGCTCCAGGAGGTATTTTTTGACAAGTATACTACCTCTAAATTGAAATTTTAAACTTGGTTAGAATGAGGCCTTTTTTCATCAGTGGTCTTACCTGGTGTCATAACTATACAAAAGAATATCTCTATAATCCAATAAATCCATAAAATTAAGAAATAATTCATTAAACTAGGCAATTTTGAAACATGCTTAACTTTTAGTTTAATGAATATATCGTCTAATATAGAGATTCTATTCTTTTAGGTTTAATTTTTAGCCTACAAAGCCTATACAAAGGTTTTTACGTTTTTTAACAAAATATGCAAAATATTTTTAAATGCAGTTGTTAATAACTGGATGTCAGAAAGATTATGATCTAGGAGTAACAACAGTCGAAACTTCATGCTTTTTTTTAATTGTAAGGTAACTGCAATTCAGCTGTATCAGTATATTATGAAGATTATGTAAATTAAGTGGTGAATTCAACATGGAATTTATATTCTCTACTCTATTTAACTATATTTTCTTTACATATTCAAAAGCATTGAGCAATAGCAACTGTCATTTGGAAACTACTAAAAGAAACGAAAATCCTGTAAATCCATGAATTGAAAGCTTTTCCTCATTCTACTTTCTGTAGGTGGTTTTGTTTTTATCAAGAAACCTGCATCTGGTAGTGTTCTATCTAATATATTCAGAATATTGAAAGAAGCCTGTCGCAGCAAAAGAAGAAGTCAGAAAATGTCCAAAAGAGATCAAAGGTATATTGCCTTGAAGTTCATTTTTTTTTTTAATGACATTTGCAAAATAAATGACTTTTCAGAGAACAAATTCAATATGTAGAGCTCTAAAAATAGCATTGATAATGGTTTTTTGGAATTATAGGGAACTGTAACTTATAACTTATACAGAAACTCTGTGTCTTCTTAACTATTATATCAAATATATTTTAATTATTGTATCATCAAAAATCTCTGATTGGTTTGTCAGTACATGACTAGTTAATGTACGGTATGTATAGCGGATTGCAGTCTAATTGTTTTCTGTGATGTATACTGAACAACTTTCTAAAGTAAACAAGATAGGTTTCCTCAACTCTGTTATGTATATATATAAGCGATATTTTACTTTAATTCCCTATATCAAATTTTCCATTCCAATCGTTTTGGGCTTATAGTATTTCCAAAAAAGCTTGACGTAATAATAACTTGAATGGTACAAATAGAAACAATATTAAATGTAAAAATACAGTAAAAGCGTCTTGAAAACCTCTTATGTGGCCTTTAGTATTGAATTTGTTTGTGAGCAATTTGAATTGTTTCATTGAAAGCTATTTGATTGGTTTATTATGAATAAATTTCATTAAAGATATTTGACTATTTTATGAATATTTTCAGGTATATAGTTGATCAAGCAGATAGCTTGGATGAGAATTTGAGTTTTCTGGACTATGCCAAACTTCGACATGGTGGTATATTCCATGAATCTATAGTAGATGATGTTAGAGAACTGAAAAAGATACTGTGTGTTTTTCTTACATTGATTCCATATTGGATAGTGTTTTTCCAGGTAAGTTCTTTTGTTGATTAAGGGACTTGTTCGCCATTAGTTTGACCAATCGTCGTTAGTCTAATCAGTAATAGTGTTCAAAGCCCACTATCAATATCCATGTGTCTCCAGAATTATCTGTATTAGGAAGTTAAGAAGACAACTCATCTTTTCTTAAGAGTCTGTCATATATACAAAAGACATAATATAGCAATAGAAAGAGAAATTCCTAGTTTGAGATATTTTTAAAGGAATTATGCAATTTTCCTACATTTCTAGTACTTTTGAAGACTATATACATATGAAATTAATGCAACATAGCTGATACATTAAAGTTATTGTCTCCTATCTACAAGGATTTGTCTAACAGTTAACCTGTACAAGATGTATAGAAGATGATATAATGACAAGACCCAAATCAACCACTAAAATGACAAACGAAAAATTTAAACGAAATAATTATTTCGCTTAAATGAACAATTAATTCGTTTAAACGAAATACTTAAATGTTTTATAAAAGTACGGAAAATTGCACCTAAGGGGCTCTGTAAAAACCTGTCCTTTTAAAATATACCAGTTGTATTGATCACAAGTAGCCAGAAGTGGAAGGCGACAGTGAGCAACTGATAGAGGGAGTAGGTGGCATGTGGTAGTATTGCTGCTATTGATTTACATTTATCATTTTATCATCTTCTATACATCTTGTACACGTAAACTGTTAGATAAATCCTTGCAGATAGGAGACAATTACTTAATGCATCAGCTATGTTGCACTATACTTAATTTCAGTCTGTCAATTGGCATTGTTATGATCAATGCTCAAAATCATTTGGACCAAAAATGTTCTAGAGGTCACTGTAACAACTAAAACTGTATCACTTTTCAGAATTAAAGTCTGACTTCCTGTTCTCTAGCCATTAAACAAAACCTACTGTGGTCACCCTACAGGTTGCTATTGATATTCTTATGCTTGATGCTCAAAATCAAAATGACCAATAACGTTATAATTGTTTCTTGTTATTGTAGATGCAGACAACTTTTCTATTACAAGGTTTACATATGAGATTAATGTTTAAAGATATAGGTAATGATGAGGTCCACAACAACACTGGTGGAGGAGGAAAAAGTGATAATGCTACTTTAATTACTGCTAAACCTCAGGTATTTTCAGATCACATACATTGCTGATAATCGCAGGTCAAAATACAGGCAAAGAAACATCATTTTCAAACGAATTTTTCTATTCGTGGAATATATATCTTGTTTTGTGATTTTTTACCATTAAGTTGTTGGTACATCTATTGTGTTTCTGGCTGTGCAATTTAGTGATTGTTATTGACATTGTTTTGGAATTTGGATTATTCATTGTTATTGCATTCTGCTAAAATAGTTACTTTTCACATTTGTAAATTTGTAAGTTAGTTTATATTGAACTTTTTTATATCATCTGTTGGGTTTGTTTGGTGTGTCAAAATTACTGTTAAATAAAATTTTGTATTACAGATAGTAGCAGCTTGGTTGTCTCTAGCTGATGCCATGATCTTGATACTGATGTTACCATTATTTGATAGAGTTATCTACCCTCGATTAGCTAAAGCTGGTCGGCCATTTACAATGACTAAGCGTATTTATGTAGGAATGATTTTTGCCATGGCATCAATGGTTGTTGCTGGTGTTGTGGAGCACTTTCGATTAAAAAGTTTTTGGCCACATAATGATGAGCCATGTAAAAATAATTCTGTAATGCAACTGATAGGTTTGTACAATTTATTTTTGTAATCAGCCATGAAGGGAGTCTCGGGAATTTTCAACCCATTTGCAGACGACAGGCAAACTGTCTGAGCTGTCATTTGTGGGCACTTGCTCATAGTTTAAAAGTGAATTTGAATGTAAGCTTCCAAATAGTTCTGATAGTCTCAAAATTACTTTGCATTGATAACAATAGCATGGTACAATGATACCACATAGGTGGGATCATCTGAGGAGGCTATATAGCCAAACCTCAAGTCGAGTATCAGCAAACATGTGTACAGGTCAAGAAAAAAAATCTTGAGATTTGCCTTGAAAAATCTGGAGATTTGGTGAAAAGTCGGGAGATTTTTGCACAATCTTGCACAATCATTATGACAGTTGTAAATTTTTAAAGTTGCTCTTTCATTATGACACTTGTTAATTTCAGGTGAAAATGAATATCAAGCTGCTGATTTGTCAATATTTTGGCAAATTCCTCAATATGCTCTGGTTGGATTGAGTGAAGTCTTTACTAGTGTAGCAGGTAACAGATTTTGTTGTTAGCAAAAGTCACAAATGGAACAGTTACCATAAGTATCCAGAATTAATCATGAAGGCATGAAAATTCTACTGAATCTGATTTGATTTAATATTATCCAAAACAATTACTAAACAGATTGATCTGACTCTGATCAGACATGACCAGCAAATACAGTTCTACTCCAATTCTGAAGTAAAATGGTTAAGATATAGTTGTTACTTGCATGATAATAAAGAACTGTATAAATTGAGTTCTTGATCTGTAAATTGTAATCATAGGTCTTAATTTCAAAGCTCAAATGAATCTAACCTTTTACATGTATTAATTATGTATACTGACTTGAACTCATCTCCTGTAATTGAATCTGTTCTAAACACAATCCTCAGCTGGTTATGGAAATGGGTGTTAACTTTTCTATATTGAAAGGAAAGTACAGTGACTGAACCGAAGCAAAAAGTTGAAAATGAGAATACTCTACAATACGAAGACTGTCATCTCATACCAAAGTCTTTCTCCCTTTATTGACAGAGTCTAAGATCTAATCTTATATAATTTCAGGATTACAATTTGCAGTGTCTATGGCACCAAAATCTATGAAGAGTATAATCATGGGTTTGTTTTATTTTATGTGTGGAATTGGAAGTTTCATTGGAACTGGACTAATCAGTGGGTTAAATTCATACAGAATATGGTTTGTTGATGGTAACGATCATGGCGATATTAACTGCCGTTTGCCATGTTCAAAGAAAGAACCGTATTTTGTGAATAACAAATCTTGTCACTTAGACTACTACTTCTTCTTATTAGCTGGTGTAGAACTGATTGGACTTATTTTATTTCTTATTGTGTCAAAAGTTTTTCATTTGGATCAAGATCAGCATAATCAAATGCCTTTGCAACTTCCAGCAGGAGAAAGAAACTCTCGAAGTGGCGTGGTTCATTCAATACAACGCTCAATTTCTAATGTGGATTAAATGGTGAACTTAATATTGGCTTATCATCGGTCTGTTATAACATGGGAAATATATAAAATATTAAATTATACATATCTAATAACATGTTAGCTCAACTTGCCTCAAGTTTTATTAAATAATCAAATTAAAGACAAGAAAGAAGCATTCCTATTTCACAACAATAGAAATTTTGTTTCAAGGGCTCCCTATACCAGATGGTCCTTGACCAAATATACCTGTGATAAAAATCATAACAGCAAACTATCCGCTCTCTTATTGAAGAAACATTTACAAGTGTCTTACTGTGAAACTGGGGATAAAATTGAAATTAATATTAAGACTTGCAGTGATATGTAGCTCACTTGCAATATGAAAATGTGGCTTGTTATTGCAGCAAAGATTTTATTCTTCCTGAAACATCAGATAGCACCTTGGTCTACGTTCCAAACCAAGAAGTTGGGTTTATGCAAATTTGTTGTGTTATTTATAGGATTGTTTAATTATGTTCTGTTACATTTTTCAACATTCATAGTTAATAGAGTGTAGTCTGTGGAAATCTGTTGTTAGTGGATAAATGTATCAAATACAAGCAAGCAAGTGAATATATGATATATAGCCAATTGTTTATATTTATATTTTACTGAGATAAGCTCATATAAAGTAGTATATTAGAAGAACCAAATGATTTAAAATCTATTTTTTTATAATTCTATATATAACGGAACCATTCCATTTATTGTGAAACTTTTTCCTATGTCAAACCGAATCATATATTGTATATAGACTATGTGGAGATGCTCATCATTTATTACTTTTGTAGTACACTTTTACACTCTAATGTATATCATGCCATATAAAATAAACTAATTGGTGATTTTTTATTATTTTAAAATAATTTTATTAAGTGCTATCTCCCAATGTCCAATAATGTATTAATCAATATTATTATTAAATGATTTCATTAATGTCAATAAAAGAAGTTATCCTTTTTTATACGCCCACATGAATATCATTGGAATTGATAAGATCTCGGACAACTTCTAACTTGATGCATTTTCGATGAACGGTTTTTGTTTTATTGCCCTTGACTTTGTTAAAACGCGTCGAAATTTGTTGAAAATAGTTTGTGAGCAGGATTGAAGCTACAGTTTTCATCCGATTCTGATGAAACTTGGCATAATCATTGGAATTGATAAGATATTGGACAAGTTTTAACTTGAGGCATTTGCGATGAATGGATTTTGAGTTATTGCCCTTGAATTTGTTAAAACGCGTCGAAATTTGTTAAAAATAGTTCGTGAGCAGGATTGAAGCTACAGTTTTCAACAGATTCTGATGAAACTTGGTGTGATCATTGGAATTGATAAGATCTCGGACAAGTTCTAACTTGAAGCATTTTCGATGAATGGTTTTTTGAGTTATTGCCCTTGACTTTGTAAACACGTGTAAAAAGTTGTTTTTTGCCCTTGATTAGAGCTGTGTGATTTAATTGTTTGTTGTATTTGGGTTATTGATATTGATATTAAAAAATTTTGTGGAATTACTCAGTATAAATAACTGGAATATATATATGTAATTGAATTCAAACTAATAAAATTTCTTCAATATGAGAAAATTCGTACTTTAGTCACTAAAGACTGTTTTATCATTTCTGACAGCTGCCAGTGGGCGTATGTTACCTTGCCTCGCAAGCTATCTTTCCATTCTGTTATAACAATTCTAAAACAGTTTCAAGATATTCCACCATGAGATGCATGTTTTTGGTGGTTTTTTTTAAAGGTACAGGCATTGGCAGATCCAAAGGGGAAAGGGGGGGCAGCCCCCAAAGGAGGTTTTTTCGGGCAGAAATCTCATAACTAGGTTAGAAATTCAAACAATCTCAGTTATTTTGGACGTAAACCTGTCTCCGCCACTGAGTACAGGTACGCCATTTCTTTTGACCAATCATAATTTATCCTAAGAAACGGGAATTGTTTAGCTAAGCAAAACAGTCGTAGTGTTCATGGCTCACCGTCAAAATTTGAGTCTTCAAATCCATGTGTGTCTACAATTATCTGCGTTTGAAAGTTAAAAAGAAGAGTCATCTTTTTGAGACACTGCAATATATAGAAAAGACATCTTTACAAATAGGAAAAGAAATTACTAATTTGAGATAATTTTGAATGAATTATGCGATTTTCGTACTATTTACATATATTCAAGACTCAAATGTGTTTGTGGGTTTTTGTTACCTTAAACTATGTTTGGGGTTCAATCTGATTAACTCTAATATGTGTTTGTGGGTTCACTCTAAACTGTGTTTGAAGGTTCACTTTAAAATGTGTTTGTGGGTTCTCTCTAAATTGTTTGAAGTTCACTCTAAACTGTGTTAGAAGGTTCACTGGAAGCTGTTTTTGTGGGTGCATTCAATCTAATTTAAACTATTCTCTTTTCAAAATAGAAGAATTCAAAAACGTTCTTTGAAATTAAGAATTTTTTTTAAATTACATGGTAGAGATGATCAGACGTTATCAATATGATTTTCATAATCAGAATGTACTTTTTATCCTCTTTAAAAATATATGTGAAATGGCTTAAATACAAGTACAAGGTACTGAAAGATTATATTGATCATTTTAAGAAGCCGAGACGAAATAAACACTATAAAATGTGAATCAAAACGTTTTAAAGAGATTTTCATGTAAAATCAGTGAGTTGTTAAACAAATTACTTTGATTATGTAATTATTTTTTGAAACATACAATATCAATCATAAATATTAAGATATCAAAGCAATCGCCTCAAAAATGGTATAAAAATGGAAAAATCCATTCAAGTCTATTGCGAACCCAACAATGATTCCACTTCTATAGTCGGGTTTTCCAGACACCAAAAAGAAATTTGGTTCACGTTAAACTGTGTTTGCAGATTTGCTCTAAAATGTGTTAGTGGGTTTAATTTAAAGTGTATTTGTGGGTTCACTTTAAACTGTGTAGGTTTTAACCTTTTGTGGCAGTGAATAGTGAGTTGGATTGTCGCCTGCTATGCGATTAGGTGTAGTGGGTGTGACAGTTGTGTTAGAAGGACACCATTTTTTAGGGACCACACTAAAGTTTTATTACGTAATCTCATTGGTTGATATTGTCACATGATTACAACAGGTCACATGACAATTTTAAAGAATAATTATTAAAGGTACAATCTGCTTCCGAGAGTCGTCCCTGTGTCGGCTTTTACCCGAAATATCTAATCTTTGTTTGTGGTTAGATTTACTCTTTAATATGTTTGCGCTTTCACTCTCAACTGTGTGTGTGTAGACTTACTCTAAACTGTCGTAGACAGTATAAGATTTATATCATTATAAGGAAGGAAACACATTATTAGTGTTTGGTGGTCATTTTGGACGCCATCTTGAATTGAAACCCAATTTACTCTTTAATATGTTTGCGCTTTCACTCTCAACCGCGTGTGTGTAGATTTACTCTAAACTGTCGTAGACTTTCCTACATCGTATCACGAATACAATTAACAAAGTATGACGAATGGGGGCTTTTATCGGACACGATGACTTTCCTGCTACTGTACTTTGGAGATAATATTCGAATAAAGTCGAATAAAAGAAAAAGCAAAACTGCTGTATTAATCATTTAATCTACGTGCATATTTATTTCAAAACGTTTCAAAAAAGATCACAATCATCGTCTCCAACGGAATAGCTCATATTTTCAATATTGCCTAGTCTTTCATGTTATATATATTTTTAAATATTATTTCTTATTATATTTGTTTTCTCACAAAATATTCTTTATGTCGACATGTTTCATTACACAATTTTCCATATTATAGTGAATAATATATACTGTATACATGTATAAGATTTATATCATTATAAGGAAGGAAACACATCCGAGAAAGTTAGAGATAGATGGACTTTAGTTCCAGGCCCCCGTTTCACTAAGGTACGTAAGTATAAATTTTTATGTAAGTATATTATGTAGGTTGAATTTGCATTTCATTAAAAGGTGTTACTTTCTATGATAGTTAATCAAGTATGTAATTTGATAGTTAGATCTGCTTGTTGGCTTGTTAACATGTGAAGAATACAATCTTTAAATAGGTAAATACTTGGTTTGTAATTAGAGAAGCGTGTTGGTTTGGTAGTGCATTTTATGGTGAAGATAGATCCTATATTCCAGAGCCCCGTTTCTACAAAATTCTTACGACGTAACTTACACGTTAAGTGAAGAAAAACGCTACTTTTAACGTTCGTTTATATAACGTTTAACCTCGTATGTTAATCAACGATATTTTGAGAAACGGGGTCCAGGAGCGCAGTGACCATTTTAGAATTTGGCATATAAATCATTCATAAAACACAAAATATGTGGTGATTCCATTAAATTCCGGGTCTTAGAAAGCATATATTTAGACACTTCATTTGTAATTGTGTCACATATGTTAGCGAAAATACCACATTAGTAGTGTTTGGTGGCCATTTTGGACGCCATCTTGAGTTGAAACCCAATTTTTTTAAAAACCCTATGAGCCCCACTCTCAATATCAACAAAAAAATATACGAATCGTTATTTCATAACAAATATGCCAACATTATAATTACTGATTCCTCAGACAGGAAATTTTGCGGCTGGTAGACAAGCCTAGGCCTATTTCCATAACAACATCAAGAAAAGATGTCTCAAGCCAAATTTGACAACAGATACAGAACAGAATAAAAAAAAAGTAATTTTGTATAAAAATATTTACAAATATAAATGAAGTGTCTGCTAAAAAATATTTCGATTATTAGATTACAGTAAAGGTGTTTACCGCGTGAAGTCTAGCGAAAGCTATGCGATGGCACAACAATAGGGTGTTTGTTACTTAGAAAATAAGGCAACCAAACAGATGAATACACTGTGCCGTGACTCGTGATAGCCTTTCAAGTCAATTCTGTTGATCGATTGATTGCCTTTTCCTTGAAAGGAAAGGCTTCTGTCTGGGCTATAGTTAAACGTATATGAAAGCTTTTCCCAAGGTATCTA